AACGCCTTTCTTATGCCTCTACACATCTCAAACATTGTACCATCAACTGCCACGTGCGATTGCAGTCATGTGATGTTGTGGGCACTCTTTTCAGCAATGTAACCACAGACACGTTAGTGCTGAAGCTGACCTTTGAACGGATCACTCACCACTGAACTCATTCACGCTCACGCTTCTGGGGGAGAATTCGAATCAGCGAAGTCGGCTTGACTTCGTGAAGACTCAACATGGCGGCCGATTCGAGGGTTGAGTGCAGTAAAACAAACTGCATGAATGTCGGTTGAGGCATGAGTGTGCGAGGGTGACAATCGGTGTGGTGGTCATGTCACAAGCACAATCCGAGCCAAGGCAAACGCTCAAACTGATTAATGATGCGAATGGTATACGAAACGCACACGGAACTATCAATCATCTGTCAAGCAGCTGTCTGGGGTGGCATATGCCCAGCCCGTACGCCGCGCATTCCACTCTTCATGTGGGTCTGCGGATTGAAGCAAGTCGCTTTCGCGTGCGCAGTATCTGCAAACATTTTGCCCCACCACCACCATCATCGCTACCACCACTACCACACGCGTAATGCTATTCAGGCTGGGGTGTGCCAGGGTTTTAATCATCCTAATAGTTTGTCCCGCATGTGGTTTATTACGCATTCCTCAAGTGGATGAATCGCGACTATACCAGGAATTCGAACGAATCAAAGTGTTTCATTAACACAAACACACGCACGATGATATGTGTACTCATGTGTAGTTCGTTTGAACGAAATCTTTTGGCTGCCCGAGCAGTAGGCGGTGGAGGTTGGGGGTTAGGAGGAAGGAACGACGGCACCCCTCCAGCAAGAGTCAGCCGGGTTACTTGTCCGAGGGAAATGCCTCCCTTCCAGGCTTCCCACAATGCTGATGGACTACTAGATATCGTAGCAGTGCGAAATGCAGTGGTAGTTGTTATGACGAGGCGAGCTGTCGCTGACACACGTGCACACACACACATACTTTGGCGACACGAGATGGCAGTGAGGTTCGCCTGGGAGATGTGAAGAGAACATCGACGACTACGACGACGACACACGACGTCGACTGGAAGCACAATGCTCTGGCCACATGCAGTGGGCGAATTCGTTGTTGTCATCATCAGAATGTAGTACGTGGGGCATTTTTCATCAACTATCTCTAAATTTGACAGCCTTCGGAAAAGTACCACTCACGAAGGAACACTTCCACATGCTCGTTCACACACTTTCCATGAATGTGGACTTGGATTGACCACATGCTCGGTCCAAACGTGGACCCAATTTCGAATACTATTCACTGTTCAAACGAAAATTGTTGAATTGCACTTTTACCGTTCGGCTGCTAGTAATCTAGCACGAATTCGGGCGATAATGACGGATGTTCACTTGGCTATTTTACAGAGAGACAAGGTAGAATTTATGGAAAAAGTTACTATCCACGCAGATTCAGAACGCTATGCTTTCACTTGGGTGTTAAAAGGGTTGTAATTGGGGAGACATGAATACTTGTTCCCCGTTTGTGTGAGTAGTGTTGCAATAAAACGATCCCGTAAATGAAGATACAGTCCAAAGTGTTAACGAGGGGCCTTTAACTACCAATGGCAGTCGATGGTATTAAAACATGACTGCAGAATCCACAGACGCTCTCTCTCTCTACCGCCGTGATTGTGTTGGAACTAGTGGCACACGAGCGTCGGACAGACTTCGCATCATATTAATCCACTTTGTGGAGAAATCTACGAGAGTTATCATTCACATAGATGCAACCAGGCTCATTCTCAAATCGACTTGTCATTGATGGAACACTGGGTTATTGGGGAGACATAAATGTGTCTGTAATTGAAGACACAGTCAACACATTTCATAGTAATGCGCTATCCCTATTGAAACCAACTCGGGGTAATTCTACAGAGAAACATCAGACCCAGTTTGTGATTCTCATCGGAGACAACCATTTCGATGTTTGAGATTGGAGAATGTATTCACTGCTGAGCGTTCTCGAAGACTGATAATGCTTTAAATTCTCCTTGTTTCACCGGACAACTTTTCATTCTGTTAGGAGTTCATTGGGCAGAGAACTGATTAAGCTGGTGCATTTTAGTTGCGTCAACCTCTGGGTGTCGAACCAGGGTCGGGTAGACGTCGAGTTTGGTGCAGTTTGGGTTGAAGTTTATCTGGCACTGCGAGCGATAGAGATGAAGCTAGCAACGCATCTTGCATGAATGCGTCAGTGTGAAGATGGTTGAAGTGTGGAGATGTCAGAAGTCAGGCACCGTTGATGATGCTGAAACGGAGGCTTGGCCACTCCGACAGGAACTCAACTCCTTGGAGACGGGATGTTTCAGATGTAAGCCAAATTTCGATAAAGTCCACCACTTTGGAAAACGCGTGTCTCGAGTACCCTCCAACGTTGTGGTAGGCTTGCATGCTGATGTATCAGACGTTCTTCACATCCTCACGAAATTGTGTCAATTTGACTGCTTCAGTGGTCGAGGCAGATGTTTGAGTTGGTGGGTTCATCTGGAATTCCGATTCATCCACACAAAAGACCAATTTGAACAACGAAACGTAACCTCCCGGCTTGAAACTGTGGGTCCGTGATGGTCTATAGAACCAGAAATACCACTTGCACCCCCACCCCAATTCTGAGTCGTTGAGTCGAACTATGACCGGTGCGCTGAAAATCCCGCGTTCTTGGCTATCGTGAAATCAAGCAGCCGTCTGAAGCTACTAACCCACTAAGACTAGCGTGATTTACTGTTCTGTGTTCTTTGTCTGTTTCAGCTGGACCTCCACAGCCAGCAGTTTCGAAATGTCTGCGAGAACACTCTGACGCTCAACTACGTCTTTCCACACACACTGGGCGACCGAATGCGAGTTGTGGAATTCATGGGAGAGTCGCGCTTGTGCTTCCAGTTCCCCATTGAATACCTGTTCGTTGTGCTCTTCATAAATTTGACTTAATGCGGTAGTCCTTCTTGCGTTCGCTAATGCCTAGTCATCACAACACATCTTGTCAATCGAAATGACTAATCATTCGTTGTGCTGTTACAGCGCGCGTATTTTAGTTTGCTTGTGGTTTACATGTTTAGAAGGGCTCGTTCCTGTTACTTGTCATGCCTTTGCAGATGTCGATACGGTCAGTTGGTCCATCTGGCGAAAATGATTAGATTATTGTTTGATTCTGACTTATAGGAAATCGCTCATTACCCAAGAACATCTTCTGTATGACTCACTCTTGCGAACTGGCATGGTGAGTTAGAATATTTTCTCAAAACCGTGTCTTTTTGCGTCGGTTTGTCATGTCTAGAAGTCCAAGTTATGCGGTGTATATGACTGGAAACATTATCCATCGTTTGCTTTGCGCATATCGCCCTGCCTTTTGAACTGTTTACCCACTAAGAGTCTTCTGATTCGCGCGAGCAACGTGAGATGGAGGGTTTTCATGCAGCAGTATGACTTGCTAGCTTCCCCGTCCAGTAAATGGCCATTTCCTGATGTCTGGCCTCTTCGTTGAGTTTGTCCAGTTGTCGGGTGTGGCGTTGCGCAGTCACCATCTGACAACCAGTTTCCAGGAGTTCGTCATAAAGCACACCTTTTATGTCCTATCAGATACACAGGAGAGTCTTCTTCCGTTTCGGCGTCGATGTAGTGGATCACGTGGGATTCACCCACAACACCTTTGACGTTTGGAACTCTCGTGCAAAATATGCTTTTCATCACCCATTTGAATGTTTCCGCAAGAAGTTGTTTTTCGTTGCCGTCGGAGAAGCAGTGAGAGGCGTGTGTTCGTGCGTTGACCTGGGAGGTTGTGTTTGGTCAACACATGGGATGGGGCCACCCACCTCCCACGTTTTTTGCTCTTTGGCGCAAACGCTTTGAAAAGGGTGTCTGGGTGTCTCGTAGCTGAGCTGCTGCAAGCTGTTGTCGCGTTTGCGTTGAGTCTTCATTTTGTAGAGCTTGTGTTTCGGCATCTCCGGACATTGGAAGGTGCTGTGCGGGGCGCGATTGGTCAATAAGATCGAAATCACCACTTCTAGAACGTTTCAGCTTCACGAGTCTGCGATTCTGAGAGGCGGTGTTACTCACGTAGACTTGTCGTTCGGTGTTCCCAAAACTTGCGTCCTATCCTTTCTATTTCAAGCATAATTTTAAGCCTAAAGACTAAATTTGCACAGATCAAGTCGCACACCAAATAGATTGCGAGCTTAACGTGCCCACTCACTGTCGCCCATTGCCCTGGGTCCTCGTCGCGTGCCATCACGTCCACGGCGGATCTCCACGCACTTACAGGACTTTCCCTGTTTTGTTGGCATTTCAGTCCAATCCGACGCTGGAGTGTCTTCGTAAGGAGCGTCTCCTCGGCATGAAGAGTGTCATCGAGCGCTACGAAATTTGCCTCCGCGCCACCGTCGACCATGTTGGTAGGTCCGGCGTCGGCGTACACTTCACCACGTCGTCCCCAGCTCTGACTCATCAAGGTTGTTTTGCTTTTGCACCCAGGTCCTAGCTTTAAACGCAGCTTCGAGCGCAATTGCAGCGAGCTGGACTTTGTACCGACCAATCTGCACGCAAACCGAATCGGCCTGTTAGACACCGACAACAGGCTAAGTAGGTATTCATACTTCTTCCCTATTGGTCAGCTGACGTGTGTGCGTGTTGCTTTGACCCCATTGGCCAGGGAGTTGAACCAATCAGAGTTGGAGCAGGTCTCCAGTGATTGAGGCGTGGAATTTAGACAGGATTGACAGGGATCCAACCTTTTTATTGGATGGTTTAACTCAGACGTTGCTTTCTAGTCTCCCACCACGACATCATCTCCACCGGCGCCTTCTCGTGTGCTACGGGCAAGTTCAAGTTCAAGGACCTCTTCCAGACAGTGGCTGGCGAGAACCACGGTGCAAACCTCGCCGACTTGGCGCCAACTTCGCCGACGGTTGCGGCAACCCTCCACGTTGAAAGCCACGCCGTGGGCAGGGCCATTCACCGCATTGCCCGGGGCGCAGCGGTCGTGGTGCGAATGACCGGCGATCTGTCGGAACTGCACTCGCGTCTGCAGGCCGAGGGACAGGCTAGGGTTCTGGCCCAACGCCTCGAAAAGGGTGTAAGTCTCCGTGTCTGTCTGTCTGTGTGTTGATTAAAGATCCTTTTCCGATTGGTGATGGGCGATTGGTCCAGAAGGTGGATAAAGAACTCGTAGCGGCGAAGTTTTCGATGGTTTTTTCGTGTTATCGCTGTTGCACGCTTCTCCTTTCCCATGTACTATTCGAGCTAATGTCCACACTAAACTGTTTATGCATTTTGGTGCAAATTATTGTGAGTAATTTGCAACACACTCTCCAGTGTGTAAACCAACTGCACACAACGGTTTGCGTGGTATTTCAATGCAATTTTTTCTTCGATTCCTGTTGCAGATGTCGGTTCTGGTGGACCTATGCAAAGACCTCTACAACGGAAACCCCATGGCTAAGATTCAAGACGAATACGAGGCCTTGTTGCGTCAGGTTATCGAGCTCGCCACTCTTGACACCATTGAACACGCCACTCGCAGGTACTTGGAGGGCTTGTGTCGACGACCTTATTGATTTTGGGTGTCATGTGTGTGTGTGTTTCTGCCGCCTAGCTCTTCGGGTACCTCGTCCGTCTACTCCGACGAGGGTCGAGACAAGGAGGTGATGCTGCGCGAGATTGGCGCTGGTTCGAGTCGTCTGGAGAAGGCGTTATCGTGCACGTGGGAGCGCGTTGAGGAGGCCCTCTGGACGGAAATTCTGACGCACATAGCTGCCGACGCAGCCGCTGCCGCCACCGCCGCCGCCACTAACAGCAGCAGCACCGGTGTTGGCGATTCCTCACAGGCTCTCCATCTTCACATCGCATCTAGCGTCTGGGACAGTGTCCAGTACCGACACCACGCAGCGTTCTGTCAGGTTATCAATATATGTCCTCATTTTTTTTACTCAGTGCCATCGTGCCGTCGAGATCAGCCGAACGCAGGCTCTAAACAGTGTCTTTAAAACTGGGCTTAGCTTTGTGGCAGAGCCTGTAACCTTCAACGGATGGTTTTAGGCACTGACCGCGACTCTCACAGGAGTCGCCTTGGCCGTGACGAGGTGGTCACCGATGGAGTGGAAGCAGATGACTAAATGCGGCGTACCGCTGCACTTCGAGGGCCTCTTGAGTTGCTACGGCGAGGAGGCGGTCATGCTGGCCAACTGGTGCTGGGCTATCCAAGCTCTCGCCTTCTGCCAGGTGATACTGCGTCCGAACGCCGAAACCCAGTCGTCCGAGGCACTGGATGATGGTGCCGCTGGTAGCTCCTCGCAACCGCCGCAGGTTCAAGTCGTCGGCCACAACGAATTCGTCGTAGGTTGCGCCGACCTTGGAGTGCCTGTGAAGGTCATCTATTTCATCATCCTCCTCCTCTTTTTCAGCTCACAATTCCTCGGTGTGCGTGGGCCAGGGCGCCGAGCGAGTGTCAGGCCCGTGGACGTATTCGTCTGTCGCCGCATCCCTACCACTTCAACGTCGGCATCAACGAACAGCAGACCTTTGCCGAACGGTGCGCCAATCCCTCGTGTCTACTCCCCCCAGTAGTCTAGAGTTGTAGGGTTGTCCAGACGTCTAGTTGTTGTTAGACCGAGACGTTTGCCTAAACTACCGTATTTTTCGCATCCGCTTACACAGGGTGTTAAGGTTAGCGTATCGGCCGCCTCATGTAACAGTGCCTTCTAACCGAACCCCTTCCCCGCACCCAAGCTTCACAGCGTCTAACTCGTCGCCTCTAAGATGCCGTTGCGTCGCTTTTTTTTGTTTAAAAAAATTGGGACCTTCCTGATTGGCTCCTGCCACCCATATGTTGACTTCGAAGGTGCGGAAGCGTTGTGTAGTCTGTGGACACACCACACGATGTCTCATTCCAGCATAGGTCTTTACATAAAAACTACAGTTTTACTCTCATCTTGTTTTAGATTGGAACGAGTTGGTATGCAGTCGTCGATAAACACTAGAGGCCTCAACAGCTTGCAGGCCTACTTCGACAAGTACACCAAAAAATTCGGAGCTCCAAGTGCGTGATCCCCGCACGAACATCGGTCTATTATTGCATTAAATAAAAGTAATGTTTTTGCTCGTTTTACAGACAAGACTTCAACCAACCAGGATGTGTGTGATGTCCTAAGCAGTCTGCGATACGCTCTGGAGTCGAACAAGTCGAAGCCCGTGGAGGTGCTTAAGCTGGCTTCAGAGATCTCAATGGCGTTGAACGCGGTCCGGTTCACCTCCTGCAAGTCGGCCAAGGATCGAACTGGAATGTCGGTGTCGTTGGAACAGGCACGGTGGCTCCTTGTACGTCTAATTAGAAATTCGGTTCGTGCGCAGAACTTGTTTGTGTGTGATCTCTTGGTCATTTTACAGGACGTCGAGGGTATGCACAAGGACAGCTTCTCGCCGGCCTTGAAGTGTCTCCGTAGCACGGGACTGCGGTTGAGCAATGTGGAGAAAAACATCAACTCGCGCAAGTACTCCTTCACGCGACTCCAACTGCTCTCCTTTCCACGGGCCTACCGACCACCCTTGGGCACGTACTCGCCCCATGTTCAGTCGTAATTCCGTAAGTCCCTGTTCACGTGCCTGGCTGAGCGCTGTGATTGGTCAACCCCTACGTCATAGGTCACTGCACGATTGGCCTACTCTCATGTCGTGAGTGATTAGTCAACCCCCTCGTTGTGTGATTGGTCAATTCTTACGGGATTTGGAAGCCTCATGAAACTACGCTGATCTTCCCAACTCACATTCATCAGCCTCTTTCTTCTTTTGACAGATACATCACCATCGTCCATAGATGGCCACGTGATAGACAGCACACGCTTGCATATTTTTTTAACTTCTTCGATTACTTCCACCCACAACTAGTCTGGTTTATATTGATGAGAATTTAAAAAAAAGTAAAGCATCGACACGATTTTTGTCATAACAAATGTTATTTAGAAAGAGGGATTTGGGGGGAAGGGCACAAAACCGGCTAATTGTCGCGAACATCTCCGTCTTCTAACACGAGTCTCCTGTTGAGGCTCGCCACGTAGGCGTTGTGGATCGAAGTGAGGAAGTTGTCGTCGTGCTGAAAAGGACAGAGAGAGCGGAGCGTGTAACAGCACAACGAGGAGTGCTCTATCTCGCGCACATGCCTACCTCCAGTAAGTGCAGCAGCGCAGCCTTCAGCTGGCCCCGAGTGAGACCCTCGACGACTGGAGGGTGCTGTTCCCGCCGGTGACCGCTGGAGGTTCTGGTATAAGATGGGGGAGGAAGTGGATGAGGGGGTGTTGCAAGGGTCTCGAGGAGGGTTCGTGGAGCTGGCTCGTCCTCGTCCTCACCCTCAGTGTCCTCCAAGTAGCCCGCGTCGGTATCGTGCTCCTCGGACTTCTTGCTAACCGCGAGCAGGCCCTCTTGACCACCGCCTTCCGGTGCTGACAAAAGCAAGCACAATGAAGTGTGGCGACGCAAAGCAACACACAGGGTGGAGGGGATGGCGATTTCTTACCTGACTGTCGCCACACCGGGAGAGAGGGTTGGCTGCCAGACGGAAGGTCTCTACGAGTCAAGAACTGCAAAAACTCGCTGCCCAGGTCACATTTGGCTGGTTTGGGAGGAGCAGTCAACTAGAAAGTAAGCCAAGCGTGAAATAGTCCGAATGGTCTATATTTTCGGTACAGCCTAGGTGAGAGCCGCGACAAGATCGAGGCTTGGAGAAGAACTTTGTTGTCACGGAATAGGTAAGGAACGCTGACATTGCAAAACAGATCTCCGGGCTTCTTGGGTGCCATGTGCCGGAATGCGGAGTTGGTTGGTACCAACTTTAACGGATGTCCAAATTTAGCGGGCTATTAATCACGAAATGGAGATTCGCTGGCTGATTGAGCCGTTTTGGTGACTTTCGGAAACGGTCTTAGCCCAAATTCAGGATTAGCAGATTGTAAACAGTAAACTTAACATTAGCCTCGATACTAAGACGGAATGACACGTCAATAAAAGAAGGCGATAGCTTAGAGAACGTATGCATTAATTCGACGTTATACACGTTAAACAGCATTCAACGAGATTCCTGCTAGTTCAGTGAGTGAATCGTGAGCTAAAAAACAGAGTTAAAACTATTAAATCAAACCTAATGTGTAAACGATACACGGATTATGAGCGAAGTCGTAATAGGGAAATTGTCAAGTTGTTTGGGGGGTAGCGCCAACTTTTTGAAACCGCTAAATGCCTGGAGTTAAGAACCGCAAAAACTCTCCGCCTTGGTCACATTTGGCCGGTTAGGGAGTGTTAGGGCTTTGGAAAAGCGTTTTCACTGGCTGGCAGGATTGAGTCGTCGAATTTGCCGCAACCAGCCAAAAAGCGCGTGCGACGCCGTAGTTTGGGAGGCGACAACACAGGTGAAGTAAACGGATTTTATTGAAACTGGCTGTTCGCATGAGAAAAACGGGCTTCAGGTTTTCATTCAAAAGGCATTGCTACGGTTGCAATCTTTGTGCATAGAATTCACGAATTTTTATCATATAACTTTTCAAAAGCAAAAATGACACCCGATTTGCACTAACGATGTTTAGACAAATTGTGTCATTTTCGTGAGGGATGTGAGAACTTGAAAAGGGGCTGCTAAACGCAAAAAACTTGAACCACCTTACAACCCTGCTTGTTAATAGGAACAATAAACTGCCAGAGAATAATAACGAGGCACAAGTGATCGCGAAAAAGCCTCATTGTAAGAGCCAATGAAAAGCAGGATAGCCAGGTCAATTTCAAACTAAAGGAATTTTAATTGCCGCAGTTGTGGACCATTTAACCACTTACGTGAAATTGTGATAACTAGTAACTTATTCGGATTCATAAAATTAAGGTCAAGTAGTTTTAAAATGGGTGCAAGAAAAATGGCGCAATCGGAGAATATTGGGTGACTAGGTTGCAACGCTATCGACACAGGTTATACGATTCCCGGTGAAGAAGGAACAATAATTCAGAGAAATCATACCGAATCAGAGCTCAGTATTCCTTGTTCGAGGTCAGAAACGAAGAACTGATGCATTTTTGAAGATTCTGCTGAGCCATTGGAGAAGTTGGACGCATTTTTCAAACTAGCAATAAGGTAAATCAGCATGGTGTAATTCAAGCAGTCACAGGTTAGGAGCAGTTTTCTAACCAAGACGAACCATTAAGTGTTTTTTTATGTCGCTTAAATTTTGACCCATACGTTAAGGAAAATGGAACTTTAATATACCAAAACAGCTGCATCAAGTTATGAGTTTGAGATAATATAAAGAAAAAGCAGCATCACTGAGATCGTAATAACTCGGAAAACAGTACACCCACGGATGAACTTACTTTTTGAGCAATGCCAAATTGACCGAGCCTCCGGATGGGGCACCAGATAGAGTTTCGGCGTTTTTCTCTGTACCTGAATAGCGCAATTCATAGGTTATCAAGACTTATAATGGGATACAACAAAGTCGCAATTTGAAAGACTCTTTATTATCGATTTTAGAAACAAAAAACTACCAGAGCCAGAACTGATGGCAACAAAACAAATAAACTCACGTTTGTTGTGCGATGATCTCTGCGACTAAAACATGAAGTGGAAAACCCATCAAGCTTAATGCGAACAATGTTCCTTCACAAAATTATACAAATGAAATGCGTAGATAAACTCAGACAAGAAAAGGAAGTTAAAAAGTCAAAATCAAACCTCAAATTCAGCAGAAGCCATTGACAGGATTTGGATAATCGATGCATTCTTTTCCGGTTGGTCCTCTTGATGCGAGGGTGGATTTTCCCCAGATGGCGTCCTTGCAGGCGATGAAACTGAGAGGCTTTGCAGACGGGAAAGTAGAGGATCCTTACGCGAATCAATACTGCTTTTCAATCTAAGGTAGGAACCTCGACGTTTACTTTTTAGTATCTTTGTTCAACAACCGTACAAGGCTGTTAAAACATTCACTTACTCCTTTATGAGATTACCGATACGAACGCAATCTTCTCGCTCATAAAACCACATTGAATAAATACATTTTCGGGTTTTGTAAAGCAAGTACGGAGGTTCCACCTGAATTTCTAGCTCCGCCGTTATATGCTGGGTCACATTTTTGCTTGAGTCCTTTCGGTTGAATACATGGAAGGCGTAAGTTGGCTCAACGGACCTTATGTACACGAAGAGAACACCTCCGATATCGGTTTTGTCCTAATTTGCTACTTGTAATGCATTCGAAAGACATACCCATGACATTTCCTCCCTGTTAAAAGTATACAAATGAGTCGCCGGAGACTTGTCAAGTATCTTTAGACAAGATTTGTCATAATTTTTAAGAATGAATTGATCAATCACCGCGTCATCCATTCTCATCGTCGTTTATCGCGCAATAGAACAAAAGTCACAAAAACAAACACGAAATTCAGGGTTCAAACAAACATTCCATTGCACAAAAATTGCAAAAAATGCAGGTTAACAGTTATGCATTTTACTTATGCTTCACATAACTGTAATATTTGGACTGTAAGCATTTCATAAACGTTGAATACTAACACCATTTGGTTTGATGAATTGAAGTTCGACATGTAAAGATTTTTCCAAGTCAAACATTTCCAAAATGGTGCACTTTGTTTGAATCATGAAAAATTGCAACGTTTAATAGTCATACTTTGTGCATTAAGTGTCACTAATATATGTGTTAAACTGAATATTTCCACATAAACTAGATTTAAAATGCGTCTGTAAAATTGGAACACAGCATTTTAGCTCAGTTATGACCGTGGGTCAATGAAAAAATACATTAACTTTAAAAATTAACAAAATCATACTCGCTTCCGCTTTAACAAGCCTATTAGGATCTGTTGATTAACGTTACCGAGTCAGCTGCAAATTTACAAATTTGTGCAGCAAAAACAAAAAATTTAACATCGCGATTACCTTTAAAAACACGTATATAGCAATAAATAAAATTCATTTTCTTCCCAAAGTCAACGTACTCATAGGGTTGCATGCGTACAAAATTTTGTCCATTTAGGAATTAAGAGTCATGGGTAAGGCATACATTAAAGCTATTTTTAAATCCCACTTTATCGTTGTCTCAATTTTCTACTCATGCAACCTGATGTGTGCGATTTCTTTTGGTTATACTGGGATCAATGACAAGACCCACAAACACGTTTCCCACAGACTGATTTTGATCAGAATCCTAATTTTCCTATTTCTCTTAGTAGATAGCGCCAAAAAATTCCTCATAGAGAGTTAAATGCTTTTCTAGACTTTTTAATTAAAGACATTGAAAAGAAGTTGGTAAATTAAATGTTATAATATCAAAAAACAGATTTGTGCCTGTTTATCAGATTATAAATGCATTGTGTCGTGCATTAGTTTGAAACATTTAGAGATCGGCAGTGGATGAAGTGATTCTTATGCAAGACATTTTTACAATTAATAAACTTCATGACCACTCGTTAACCACTTACTCAGCATCAGAAACTTTCGATCATAATGGATCAGAATTTTTGTTCATCAGTTAAATACAATAACTGAACCAAAGGCAGTCCCTAACGCTTATAAGAGAACATGAGTAATTCGCATACCGCTCATTCGTGCAAGTGTCTTTCTATGGTGACACATTTAATGGCATTTAACCTGATGAACCCCTTCTTTGGTATCGAGTCATTTCTCTTTTCATTCGTGTTCTTTAAGATTCGATTAAATTGTGAAAAGACAAACTGATTCTTTTTGTTTTAAAATTTTATGAAAATAACATTAGTAATTTTTGTAAAATATAAACAATTAAGATTTTGAGAATAATGCACGTTTGTTACCTTTCTTTTTATTTTTAATGCGCTAATGTCTTTCGATATGACCTTAATAAATTTAAATCAGCTCAATTCTATTTTGTTGAATCCTGTTTTACGAGGGTCTTGATAATCGTATTGGCCTCATCGATAAGTTTTTGGTATACTTGTTAATCAACTTATCTGCCCTTAAATTCAAGAGTTCCTTTTAGTGCTTTCTTTATTTACGATAATGCCACCCGGTGATTCATGTTGCTTTTATTTCCTGCTTTTTGTAATCTTTTTATATTTGTGTTCTATAAAAACACAATGCAACTCCGTCATAATTGTATCCATGTAACGTAGTCTCATCTTTTTATAGTTTTTTATGTCTACACCTTTGTAGCATTGAACACGCATGCTCCCATTAATTCAACATTATATGTTTTAAATGTTGCTTTTTTAAGAGCAGCAATATAATGCGATTAAATTGTCGCCCATGTGGGTTATATTACAGGGCAAATGTCAAAAAATATTCTGCAGTGTATTGGTCGATTCTATCAGCAGTCATGCCGCTGCCTTTGCAAAATAACCCCCCATTTTGGTCACCAAGGAAGCAGCCTTCCCGAATGCCTGCGACAAAAAAATGAGGTTGTTGAACAAGAGAAGTCTCGCCTAACCGAAGCCGAGTATTTTCGTCGGAAATATGCAAATATGGAGGAACTGGCTAAGAGTAATTTGTCTTTTTTATATTTTTTGTAATTTACGCACTTTTGATGGTTGTAATTCGATCAATTTGCAACATGTTTTACTCAGTCTTTATTATACTCCTTTTTTTCTATGCACAACTTTGGCTTACCTTTCGCAAACTACCCAAGACGTCCTTATTCAATATTAATTTAATCAGAGTAATTCTTTTTTTCCAAAAAATATTAATTGTGTTCCAAGTTAATTCTAGCGCCGATGTTGGAAATAATAAACGTCACCTTACATTTCTATTGAAAGCTCACTTGGTTGATGTTGCTTGAAATTTTTTTTGATTTCACATCCTTGGTTTGGGTTATGTGTGCATTTTGTTATTTCCTAGCATTACCCGCTGCACAGCCAGTAGAAACAGATGCAGTCTTTGTTAACAAGGAAGTGCGTTTAGGCGAACTTGATGTCTATGGATTCGATTACGACTACACTCTCGTTAATTACACCAACGCCTTGGCTGAATTCATTTTCCAGGAGACAATTGGCCTACTTGTCTGGAAGTGGAAGGTGGGTTCCCTAGTCTTTGTTGCTCAATTTCTTGCCCTCTACGTTTTCGGCGACCTTGGACGCACCACAATTCTTATTGGTTAGAATTCTAAACAATCTATATCTGGTAATCGTTTGCTGTTTCGCGTTTATTTACAGTATCCTCAGGAGCTTCTGTCAGTGAAGTATGACCCCAACTTTCTTATTCGTGGCCTCCATTATGACATTAAGACGGTGAGTTATTCGCTCTTTCGTCACACTACATCATATGCTAACAGTCATTCAGCGTCATGCTGCATGCGTCCGTACCCGTCCTTGTGTTTTAAATCGGACACAATTGTGAAGCGCTGCTAACTCATGCGGCAGTTGCGCTCTCATCTTTTGAACATTGCCGATTGGGTTTCTAATCACTCGTCTGATTCCCGTCACGTGGCCTTCGAAAATCGTGTTCAAGGAATCGTCATCGTTATAGTTCGATAGGCTGGAACTTGGTGTGTGAATGCGATCAAATTTGTCGCTTTCCAATTTGACTAACCATCACTAAGTCCTCTCTCGTCTGTTAAAAATGTAGTTATCCTGGCTAAAAATAATTGAAAAAATTAGACATTAGATAAGACCGCTTCTAGCCTTGTTGCAGAATGTATTTTTCGCTTATCGATCACACGTAGAACCATAATGCAAGTAAGTGGTATTCAGTGACTGTTCATTGATTACAGCATGACTGCCGAGTATTTGAGTTTCGTGCGCGATAACTGGTGACAGTGTCAGCTTATTTTAGGGTTTCATTATGAAAGTGGATGCCTTCAAGAACATCCAGTCTGGTACAGTGTACAAAGGTCTTCGGCCGGTCCCCTACGAGGTTGTTCAATCCAACTACAATGGCCTCTACATCCCATCGGCGTTGCTCCGGGGTAGCGTTCATACCAAGGTGCGTCTAGCCCATCAGAGACCAGAATTCGTACAAAGTATTTTTGGCGCTATTTTAAAATTTCAATTTTTCCGGCTTCGCTTTGCCGTCTTTGGTCAGGCACACCGTATCTAACAGTTGTGTCAGTGGCAAAGAATTACTCGGGTATCATCAAATATTTGATCGCTTGTACAAAATCACCCTCTGTTTGTTTAGTTCAACGTTAAAATGCACCAAAATCATCGTGTATGATGGTCGATCCTATTAAATTTGACATTTATTGTAACAAAGCAAAACCAGTTAAATTTGTGCGCCAACCAGTTCAAACGACCTTGTGGCGTAAATTGAAACATTTAAACAAACAAGTAAACGCAATTTCATGCTTTTGCGTAACGTCGAAGTACTAGGTCTGCTGAAAGCAAACTGAATCAGTGGAAAGGCAGTATCTACAATTCAGGTGTTTGAACTATGGTTTTCCTGTAGGTAATGCGGATTTTTCTAATCTAAACCAAATCTGTTTATTTCAGGACCATAAGATTACTCAGATGATGGATTTCTTCGATCTTCCTGCCTCCTATGCTGTCTGTTCTGCGATCGAGGTAGGAAATCGCCCTTATCCCAATTCCTTGTTGCGAAATCGCTGTCTGTCGCGATGAAAACTAGAATTTTTTACCGAGAGAAAGTCGCATAAATGTCGATGCAAATTGCTCCCTGTAACGTGTTTACCTTCTGTAATCAATTAACGGCATCGTTATCAGAACACGCTAATCACGAGTTTCATCCATTAAAACTGTCGTTAGCCAATCACACTGCGCGTAACTAATCCTGGTTCAAGAGGAATTCGCAATGCAGCTAACATTTCCCCACGAGACTGTGCGTTAAAACCAGGATATAAATGAGAACGACTGACTCACTGGCCACAAATAACTTCTTCATGTCTTAACCTCATTATTTTAGCATTTCGAACAAGCTGGAATTAACTACCAACCCGAATGCATTTACGGTGACGTACGAGTATGTGCTTAAACCTATTCTTTTTACATTGCATAAGCTTTCTTCTCTGTGTGTGTTTTAATTTGTTGTTTATTAACGCGTCCTTGGTAACTGTGTTGTGCGATTTACAAACTGAGAAAGAGCAGAATCTGTGTGATTATTGGACAACAAACTCATTGCACTTCGGTGATTGTTGAAAGCACCTGCTTTGTGGATTGGTTGTTTAACATCAAACCAAATTTACCTTGCACTTAAGTCGTGCGCCGATTGTGGTAATAACCATAAACTAGCCTCACGCGTGCTCTGCATGCCTGTAGACCATAAAAGTCACCGGTACAATTGGCCTATGCGGACGACTACTCCTCGCCTTGGTGTGGAGCCGAGTTGGTAAACGCTGGTGGCTCAAAATTGGTGCCGGAGCCACAATACACCTTCTCAGAGTGATTGATATATTCGCGGACGAATTAAAAGTGGTGGAATATGTATTAGTTATTTGGCCCCGCGTGGTGATGTCTGCTCGCCAAATATGATTTATTATTAATGAGGTGGCTCTTTTGATTCGTCATCTCAAATCTGCACCATTTCTAAGTACCACTTGTAACTTGTGCTCCGCGTTAGATAAATGCCAAATGATTTGTCCTCGTCAATTGAACCTTTTTTATCATCAAAGTAATTGGCTTAAAAAGTGGTCATTCTTGGGCTCGTGTTTTGCCAAATTTCATATTCGTGTCCTTGAACACACGACCTTGTCGACAGAAGCATTGATTCTTCACAATAAAACCGTGTGATTTAAAAAAAGAATTATTGTCCTTCGCTGTCTATTTTACAATTTTTTTGCAAATTCAAAGGCATTCTTGACTTCTTTGTGCGCCCAGTAGGCAAAAAACTGCTTGTTTTAACACACTGACGCGCACATCCGTTTTCATCTGCGCCAATAAAAGGACACGCAAACTCGCACGCCATTGTAGATGTGCGAAATCGGCAGAAGTCACTGCAAGAAGTCTCTTTTTCCACGCACGGGTTCGAGCCCTAAGAATTTGGAGTGTCCGGCGCCAAATTTAGGTGACCTTGGAATCGTTTTAATCAAATGAGGGAATTAACCCTTCCGAACTTGATAATCAATTTAGCTCAGCCTTAAATATACCTGAAGCACACTAGGAAACTTGTAAATCAAGTGATATTTGCTTAAGTAAGTGCTAATTCTGACGACAAGGTCGTGTGTTCATGTACGCAAATACCCGCGCGTTTCAAATTTCGATCATTTTTCAGAACGCCGTCCACACAATCCACGAATCTGGCCTCCTCCATCGAACTATTATCAAGCATCCAGGTGTGTTGGAATTAAGAAAAATTCTTGAGAACATCTTTCTTGTTTTTATTTTTTAGAATTTTACCATGTTCTGCATACATGCTAACATTTCTCAGTAGTAACTTCAATTAAGCTTAGGAGTGGTAACCAAATTCGAAAGTAGCTAGTTGTGGTAGCTAGCCAATTCATTTTTCCCATCGACGTGTTCATTTGTTCTGCTTGTAGGTGTAACCTTATAACCAGACTATTCATTCCTCGAAAGTACTTTTAATGCTTGATTGCAAGTCGCTTTGATCTTGACTGCTCATAGCCGCTGTCCAATCGGCTTTCGCCGTTATAATGTGACTAATTCATTAAGTGTTTGCTTACTTAGTGGTGAGTTGTGCGTGCTAGTGGTATTTTGGGCTAATCTGGCAGTTCTATCCAGCCAATCAGCGCCGACTACGTGTTTGATTGGCCTGTTCAATTTGTGCCTTGTAGAACTGTACATTAAACCAAATCCTCTCCTTCGAGAATTGCTCATCCATCTTGCCTCCTACGGAAAAAGCCTCTTCCTCATCTCTAATAGTGGCGCCAGCTTCATGTTAGTCAACCCATTGCATTAGAGATTTCACAACTATTACATCTTATTCGCTCTCTTTTCGTCGTAGAAACGAAGGCATGAATTATGTGGTGGGTCGTGATTGGCGGAAGTTCTTTGACGTGATAATTGTTGGCGCGAATAAGCCGGACTTCTTCCGATCCAACTCCTCGTAAGTCCGACCCCTCGTTGAACACATGCTACTTCTAAGCTTTCAGTAATATCGCGGTTTCATTGAGTTTTTTCCCTTGACTCATTTGAGTGAGCCCCCAACTATTGATTTGGCGACCTTCACGAATGTTTTTGTTTAACTGGTGATTGGCTCAATCGCTTGGGAAGTAAAGAGGTTGAAAGGACGGTAGCAGATTTGTATAAATGCCAAGATGGATAAGGACTGATACCGACTAGATTTTAAGGTAAATAGACGCGCATTTCTTTCCTTCAAAGCCACGGGAGTTAGTCAGTTAAAACCAATAGTAGCGCGAGATTTAGATTCACCTTTAGCGTCCTTACACCATGTAGTGACTGATAAGACAACTCCTTCTTCTACATGAAGCAGTCCGACGCTATTTGAAGCTCACCACGTTAAATTTAATATCCGACCAATCAGACGGGTGTACCAGTTGATTGGTCTGTCACAGATATTGACTGGTTCTCTGTGCAGAAAGCGACCATGTTGTTTTAGTACACTTTTCAACCCCGCCATTTCTGATTTCAGGCCTTTTCGAGCTGTGGATGAAAACGGCGCCTTTCTAAGCTGGGAAGGCGTGTCCAAATTCGAATCCGGTCAGCTATACCTTGGCGTATGTTCCCACATCGCATTATTTTGGACAATTCCCACCTCACTGTGAAGTCTAGCACGATGTTTTGATGCTATTCCGTTGTGTTTTTGTGTGTCTAGGGCAGTCTTGATCTCCTGAAACAGCTCACCAAGTGGCAATTACAACGCGTGTTGTACTTCGGTGATCACGTTTACTCCGACCTAGCGGTGAGTTGTGGTATCCTGTTCCCTTCGTCTTTCACCATAATTTTTTTTAAATCATGGATGCACGTTCAAAAAGGTGTCCTCAAGTTCATCTGGTTCGTTCCACACTGGCATCTGGTACATTACTGTAGTTCTGGTCCATCAATCTTAGCGTCCACGGCATGCTGGCTACGTGGGCCATTTATCATAACAGCCTGCATGCACACACTCACCCCTCGTTATCAGCCAATAGGAAACAAGCAACCCTGGATTTGGGAAGCCGACTTGCCCATTACCACAAAAGTGCAAATTTTTGTCATTTGGCTGAACCAGTAAAACCCCAGATAATCTGGCATTAACACTTTGCCACCGTTTTGTGGACTCACGCGGCAGTTTCTCAAAAATACACACGCTAACCACTTAAGTAGTTAAAACAATTGAACCAATCAAAATGTGCTTTTTAAACTGTCAAATGTTTACTACAACGCGAGCCAAAGTTTAGTCAGTGTCACGCCGTCGTGGATTTTATTCGGCTCAAACAATTTCGTTTAAATGAACCGCACGATAATTGTGCCACTTATCGTCCTTCAGATTCAACCAATGGTCAACTTCTCCAAGTGTTCAAGTTTACTTGAATTTTAACTCTAAGAAATCGTCAAATGCCATTACACATGAGAGTTGTCGACCAAGTTTGTGTTTTTAGCGTGAGTGTGAAAATTAGCGCGCCTCGATAACCCGTTGTCTTGAGGTTCTGGAGGCAGTCGATAATCAATGTCGAGCTGAATGGCGCACAATCGCAAATTTTGGTCGGAAAGTAACAAACCATTCCTCACGAAAACCCATTAACCTCCTCTGCGCGTGTCCCTCTTCCATTCTGTTTATTATTTATGCATTGTGTGCATAGCATGGAGGAGACTTTAGGGGCGAATCTGAAGGAACTATTCCTGTTTGGCGCGATTCTTTGTTTTAACTGACTGAGGAAAATGCGCGCAACTTCGAAAAAAAGCAATAAGGGCGAACAGATGCACGCCTCGGTGCCACGAGTTGTGAAGGTCACAAAAAAGCCATTGGATTCTTTGTAAAATAAAGTCACAGCACCACTAAATGTGGTCACTTTTGAGGTTTATTTATCTTAAAAATTCGACAAACCTCCTACCGTCTTTTACAACTTTGCGTTCCACAGTTTTACGTCTAATTAAAACAAAACTGTTGGTGAAGGTCACCGACCACCTGTCGTAAGAAGATTGGTTCAAGTCGATGGAGATGAGTGAAGTAGTGGCGAATTCACAACAGCTTAAGTGTCTGGCCTTTTCGTGTCCTGATTGGTTGGAAGGTGGAATCATCGCCATCATTTAAGGAAGTGCTGCCAAATGGACAATGAGCGACCATGTTAAGCTAGGCGAAGATGAGCATTTTATAGTCCGCGGTTATGCGATGGGGCAAAGCACTTGCATACAGGAAGCAAACAAAGGATAAGAACCGTTATATTACTGAAAACCTACGAGTAGCACATGCCTGCGTATCGACACGGCCACTTAGCCTGACCAATTAAAACGCATGTGTTTAAAAATCGAACATTGTACAATTCACCCTGTGGAACCCAGGTGAAGCTGCTTGAAATGTTGCATTCGGACATGACTTCGCGGATTTACTACACTTCAGGGTTAAACTCTGTAATTCCCAACACCAATATTGATTTTCTTCGTCTGCTCCTGCAGGTTACTTATGGCCAACGTTCAATGGGCTAATTACGCATTTTTTTTTAATTTGCAAACTTAGTTGCCGTTCGGCTTAGCCACCTCCCCTTTTGGCTGCAAATGATGGCGTCAGTCACGCGATTATTCCGGGCATTTTTTATGCTCAATTGCCACAAAAAACTGACGACATTTCAGTCTGTTTTTAATGGCTGATTTTGATTGGAGTATTTTTCCGGCTCCTCATTGGTCAGTTTTCGGTCAAGTCACAGATATCGATCGGGCACTTGTTCAATTAGTTTTAAACAGTACTGAGGTGTTAGGTTTAGCCGTTTTACAGCAACTCACGACGCAGATTGCTGTCTTTGTGGAAATTTGAGCACTGTCTCGTTTCAGGATGCATCAAACCAATGGGGTTGGGCAACTGCGGCTGTAATTCCGGAACTCGAAAAAGAACTCACCCTAATTAACACGAGCAAGTACCAAGACAACCTGCGTCGTCTCATCTTGCTCGAGGAGCTCCTAATTGAAAATCAGGTAACGACATTTGCCGCAATTTCAAATTGCTGGGTTCCACAAATAGACGCACTACTTAATTCGACTTCAGTACGCAGTTACGGCGGTGGGTCAGTCCATCCTGGCGTCGTGGCGCAGAGAACGCGACACCCTCCGCCAATTCTCCAAATCCGGTTTCAATCCCCACTTCGGCAGTGTGTTCCGCTCCTTCCACAAGTACTCCTACTTTGCACAGCGCCTCGGCCTCTACGCGTCCATGTACACCTCATCGGTAACCAACCTCCTCCACCTCCCCATCAACCACGTCTGCTACCCGCGACGAACCCTCTTGCCACACGAACCTCGCTAGTCAAATCCCGTTCCTTTCGTGTTTGCGCGCCTATTTTTTTCTAGAAAAAGAGATTCTCATTTTATTGGCTAATTTGCAGCCTTCTTCACACTCGCAATCACCCGCGTTGTAACCTAGATGCTACCACGTCGCGTAGAACTTGTCTAGGAAGGTCCTCTGAACCGCCAGTTCTATGGATCAGGGGTCACGATAGGGGTGTGTGGTAGGGACGCCACGTGACCCGATTTCACCGCAAAATGCCGATTCTTGAAGCGGTCCGTCGTGTGAAGCACTTGCAAATGAATCACAAACTAGTTCGTGACGGAGTCGCGTGGAAGGAAGTGTGATTCTACCCCCTGAATGTCTCAACACGCCTAGATATAGGAATCATCAGAGCGGAAGTCGTCACGAACGCGGTTTTGTACAGATTTGGCTAAGTTTCAAGTTCAGCTTAGCAGTTTAAACCACTTGCAATGACCTCTAGTATGAAACGAGTTCCGCCATAACGCCTTATTCAACCCAGACAAGGTGTGACGTATGAGTTCTGTACAAGAGAAAACGGCGGAGTTAGTGTCAGTTAGGCGATGTACACAGTCTCGTCGTGTCGACGCTTCTTCGCAGCGTACGTGCCGGGCCGCGTCTGGGCGTCCGGGTGATTGGCCAGTTCAGCCGGACACGAGGACACCGGAGACGCGAGGAGCAGCTGCTTGAGGTCGTAGTAGACGCCAGTGTCGTCCCTCGTTAGGAAGGTTATCGCAACGCCCGACTTGCCCGCGCGACCCGTTCGACCAATCCGGTGGACGTAGTCTAGGCAACAACAACAACAACAAACACATTGGTGTTGAGACCAGGGTTTCAGTGGACTTGAACCCGGGATTGACAGTGTGACCTACCGTCGATGGTCTTGGCCATGTCGTAGTTCACCACCATGGAGACGTCCTTGATGTCGATACCGCGACCGGCCACGTCGGTCGCGACCAGGATCTCCTTCTGGCCGGACTTGAGACTGGCCAGAGCGTACTCTCGGTGTTCTTGGCCCTTGCCACCGTGCAAAACCACGGCCGAATGACCCAGCTTGTCCAGACCCTTGGCCAGGACGTCGGCGCCCTTCTTCTGGTTCACGAAAATTATCACCGGTGGCTCGATGCCCTCGTTCAGGATCTGCAGCAGCTTCTTGCTACAATGAAAATGGAAGTGCACACCACATGAGACGGGTTTACTAGCTTAAAAGGAGGAGAAGGAGGAGGAGGAGGTGGGTCTGACGTACCGTTTGTCGTTCTCCTGCACCATGTAGACAATCTGCTCGACGCGGTCGGTGGGTTTGCCAGCGGTGCCGACGTAGACAGTGGCGGGACGACGAAGGTAGGAGCGAGCCAGTCGTTCGACGGCCGGTGGCATGGTCGCCGTGAACATGACTGTTTGACGGTACTTCTGCTTGGTGGAGAAGTTCGCCAACAACTTGTCGTCCTGTTCGGCCTCTTCCGTGTCCGGCTTCTGATTGGTCACTGGAAGGTAGCTCAGGATGTTGTTCACGTGCGGCTCGAAACCCATGTCGATCATTTTGTCAGCCTAGGAGGGGGTTATGAAAACACCAATAGACACAACCGACGGCTGCGAAAACGCACTAAAACGACTTATCTACGAGAATGGACCACGCAGAAGACATTAAGGAGGCCATGACATGCCCGCTTTGCTATGACGACAACAAGAATAACGGTTCTGTAGCCAAAATGAGACCCACACTTCACAATTACCCACGGGAGAGTAAAAGATTAGCGAGTTGTTGTAGTGGGCGTCTTTCACGAGGATGTTTAAGCACCAGTCCACAAGCCTGGGTAACGAACTTGGAAGTGATCACGTTCGATTCCATTCGATCGTTAATAAATCACTGACTGATGAAGTTAGAACCAGGGACAATAACCAGATTGCCGGTAGCAACGGTTGGTTTAAGGACAATTTGCAACGGGGACGTTAAGATTCAGTCGGAATCGGGGAGTCTTGACACCGAGCAAAAGTAATAACGATAGAAGAGAAAGCATAGAGACGCGGCGGCTGTGCTTACCTCATCTAGAACGACGTAGGTACACTGATTCAGCACGATGTAGCGACTTTCAAGGACATCAACCAGTCGGCCAGGCGTTCCAATGACAATTTCCGCGCCCATTCTCAACTTGAGGGCCTGATCCTCCTTGGAGATGCCACCAATCACAGCGACCGTCTTAATTCCAAGTGGAGCTCCAAACTTAACCGTCTCCTCTTCAATTTGCTGGGCCAATTCACGCGAAGGCGCCATAATGAGAGCGTAGGGTCCCTGTTCTGTATCCTCCATGCGAACTAGTTTTGGTAGGGTTTGAATCCACGTCAAGAGAGGCACCAAGAAGGCAAGGGTCTTGCCCGAGCCGGTCTCAGCAATGCCGATGATATCGCGATTTTGAAGGCCAATTGGTATTGCTTGACGTTGAATAGCGGTGGGCTCACTGTAACCGACCTAGGCACAACGTTAACTGGTCAACACTTAGCACACCTTATAGATGATTTCGAGGAGGTCCTTGTGGATAGAGGATTCCTTCCACGATCTAATGGGGTTGGGAAGATTACCGCCTTTTGTGGAGATATTATAGTCTTCACGGAATATGCGCCAATCACGGTAGGTCATTTCGGAAAGTGACTTTTCAGACCAATGCCGATCATCCCACTTCTCTTTGGCTTCGCGTTTGGCCAATCCGCTAAGGCGTTTACTAAAAACAAGCGTAAAAACAACAAAAAACGCACTTTTCCTGTTCTTTTTGTGTATCGGATCGCCGACTTTCAAGCATTTTCGAATAAAACTTGCCAATTTCACGTTTTTGTTGCTAGAAAAGGAATGCGAACTGAAAATGAAAGCAAACCTTAATGTCGATGCCACCGATGTGGCCCCTTCCAAAAAATTGGATCTGGTGTTTGTCTTTGTACAGGGGGTTGTAGTCCTGACTGGTGTCTTCATTTGCGTCCCAATCGAAGACAAACTTGCGCTCGTTAAGACGCCTTTGTCGGCGCTTAGTGAGACGCTTCTGACCCAAATAGCGCTCTTTTATGGCCTCCTCTTCACGGGCTTTATCAGACACCGCACCGTGGGATGCACCCGTGCCCTCGCTTCGCTTTTCACGATTCTTCTCCGGATATCGTCTATCCAATTCGTCTCGCCTTCTCGATCGATAGGAGTTGCGATCATAACGTGAGGAGGCGCCGTCAGCCTTTGGGTCATCTAAAACAACCTCTAAAATGCAGCCCAAAACTACCTCGATTTTTGGATAAGTATTCAATTTGTTTGCTCAGTTCTTCCGCAACACGCATCCTCTGCTTCCGAATGGCTTCTTCTCTTTTCTGCAACGCAATTTTTTCTCTTTCTTCTCTCGAGATAAACTTTGGCTTAGCTAGCTCTGCATCAGCAGCTTCTTTCTTCTGAATAAGTTCTTCAAGTGATATAGGAGCTTTTCGAACAGTGCCATTTGCGGGGGTTTCGGTATTTTCTTCTTCGGATTCCACTTTTGCTAACTTGGGTTTCTTAACGGGGGGCTGGAAACCATCCTGAGATTTTTTTAATTCTCTGACACTTAAAATAAATTCTAATCAAAAATAATAAATTACGTTTCTGACACTGCATGCTTCAAGAGCCCATCCCTGTTAGAAGAAGGTTTATGGTTGTTCATGCTATCCTTAGATTTCACGGAATTCTTTTCTTCTCGACGTCTACGTCTCTCTTCCTTCTTTTTACGTTTTTCCTCCTTCCGCATTTTCTTTTCCAGCTTTCGTTTCTTTCTCTCCTCTTTATGTTTGCGACTTTCCTCCAAGTCATTAGACTTTTGGTCACCTTCCTTGTTTGACACAGTATCAGCAACATGTTCAGTGAATTTAGACGCACTTAACAAATTAACTTTCAAAATTTTTACTTACTTCTCGCTTGTGACAACTGGTTCAGTCATCGCAATCGAATATTTAACGAACTCAAAGAAGCCGCAACACAACCCTCGAATAACCCTTTTGCCGCGTAGTTAATACATTAACTAAAACTATCAAACATTGCTAGTTTATGAAACTTGGCCCAGAAATAAAAATCGGTTTGCTTACCATTTTAAGCAAAGGTAATAATAATCTTATAAAAGTACTGATGAATACTGTTAGGAAATTTAATGGCAGCTCGAAGTCAGTTAACGTTTTTTCAAGCAGTTACATTCCGCTTTTGACTGTAGAATAGATGACTAAGCAAATTATTTAATGTAATATTTTTAACGAAAGACACGTGAAGCTATGAAGCAATGCGCAAATGTTAATAAAAATGTTTTAAATGTTAAAGGGTAATCCTTAAATTAAGATTTGGTTAAATTGCCACTGTTGCCACAGAATATTTCGATAAATTGACTGACGGTCCTCCACTAGAACCCCAAGATATGCAAGGCTTAATTCTGTTAAGCCAAAAGATTTAAGCTACTAAAGCCATCTAAAACACTTACATTACTGTTCTGAGCAGAATTCAAATGAAATTCTGAAAGCGAACGAGAAGAAATTTCCGAATAGGAAAACTAGATAGTAAAATGCAAATCCTACCTGATGACCTCCACTTTTTAATTTACTAAGATTTGTAGAATCACGACTTGACATCGCCAACTGTAGGTGTTTTTGTAAACTAGCGAAATGTTAAATGTACATGTTATCGAGACGTCAGTGAGTATTTCGCGAATGGAACACAAAAATATGCGCCAATGAAATCATTTGGTTTTCTTCGCTATCCCCCTAATGATGGGGGTCAATTTATTGACAAATGTACAATTTCCCTTTCATTTAACTTAAAAAGGCTATTGACTGTTCACAAGCTTTCTAAAGACCAAACAGTATACATTAGATTGACAATCGGCGTTCAGCTGTTACATTTTTGACTGCAGAGAATCTCGCTAAGCTCTTCTACATCCCCATGATGATGAAGACCCACAGGAACCAGAAATTTTGGATGATCATTCTGATAAATGTATCTGCTGCTCACGGATTACTGTGCTGGGGAATGAGCAGGATTTGCCTCAACATAAGCAAATAATTGTTTTTTGACATTTTTTGACGATCATGTCGAGTTTAAGTTTGTCGATTTAAGGACAATCAGGCGGTTTGCCTCTGGTATCTGACTCTTCTGACAACGCAAGTTTTGAAGATACAGAGAATATTGTTGGGGATGTCTTGCAACGAAGCTGCAAATCACATTTAACAGAACTCAGCTGGCACTCAAAGGCAATTAATAACCGGTTACAGAAGTTAAGTTCATGTGAAGTGCAATTTAATGAAATAAATTTTTGACCAGACAGGTATAAAAGAACCTTCATTGAGTCTCAGAGCCGTTCAAAGCCATTACCGTCTGATTAAGAGGAGGAGTTGAATGAACATTCAAAAGTGTGCACGCTGAAACACTGAAGCTCAGATGAATATTTATTATAAGATTAACAACTAGAAGCGCACTAGGAAACGTTAAAACGAAAAAGCGGTTGGCTTATAATAAACAATGCTTTATTTTGCCAGTACCACACCGGTCAAGTAAGTGCAAAATTTGTTCTGTTACTTTTGTACAACACTTTGCTTTACTATACTGTTATTGTTAAAATATTGATTTAAATCCCCACAGAGGCAGGGACTGTATTTGCCATCTCAATTGATTGCTTGAAATTAACTGATTTATTGAAATAGAATCAATTGTTTGGGATAACAGGTATTTGCAATGAATCTGCTTGTGTTACCCCGATACTGATTTAGAACTGCCTTTTCAAACCGACGACACCTGTTCTACGCAATTATTCCATAAATTTTCGCACCACTTGTTTTTTACAGGCACTATTTTTTAAACCTCGTTTCGACTATTTTAAAACCCTTAATAGTCATGTCTTTTTTAAATGCATATATTGATTACAAATTAGTACATCATTCTTATTATTAGGACAACAGCGTGAAGGTTCTTTTGCAACACGATTATGTCTCAATTGAGTCAGACATTACTTAAGCTAATTAACCACCGGCAACCTAATCGAAAATATATAAGAATAAGAGTTTGCACATCGGTTTGTGCGGTGACATGTCCGCCGATGTTATGCTTGGTCGTAGATTAGTCATCTAATTTTGCCAAAAAAACAAATATAAACAGGCGGCATATTTTTGATTAGCAAATATCTGTGTAATTGTCACTTGCTATTAAGCAAATCTACATTCATTTTCCGAAAAAAAGTGAATATAAATGAGGGATGTACTTTAATGACTTATATTGTGACTACAAAGGTTATGCTATGGTGCTAAATTGACGATTTATTTAATTTACATCGACTTTAATTAGTATCTATGCATACAAATGCGTTTTGTTGCAAATCCTAGAAAGGATAATTGCAATTAACAGAGCAGGATTAAGGATAACACTTCAAGTGAGTAAAATAAAATATTTTTAAAATTAAGTTCGCAGTTTAATGATGGTTTTTTTGAATGACGTTAAACAATGTGAAAGCGCTGCTTAAAAGGTTTATATGCTGAAACATTATACCGTAATAAACCCAAATAAACTTTCTGCAGATGTTCTATGAAAAATGATAAGTGTAAACAAGAATCAGTATTCCACGCACTTATTCAGCTTGGGTCACTATAAAAGAAAATATCTTCAAAATCAAAGCTACGAAAACTCGAGGTTAAAGTATGAGGCATGGAACAAGGTGTCACGCAAAAATTGCAAGGTTTATCCGAAAAAGTCATTTTTAGATAATACCCATTTATTGTTTTAAAACATTATGCATAACTTCATAATTAATCAGAACGTCAGTTACAAATAAAATTTTTTTTTACAAAACCACATTTGATAAATATCATTTATCAAAATGGAATGTTAATAACTTATCTTCCGTTGATTTTTGTCCAAAAATGTCATTAATTTTCATTTGTTATCCTGATAAGTTACACGATTTTTGATAGGCCATGCTTGCTTTTGTATATTCAATGTGCAGTTTTTTTAATAGGCAAAACTACTAAATAGTCTTAAACATATCGCCTTTTAGAGCCTAAAGTGGTTGATTAAATGAAAACTGAACATTAAATAATTTCAAGCATTATAATGCAGATATCCTTTTAGTAGTACACACCGCGTATTTGAATCTAGTGTTTCTGTAATGGTTGTGTGAGATATTTTGGACGTAGAATCATATACACACCATGGCTAATCTTCCTGGTGACCTAATCAAATTTTTGGACCTTAAAAATACGCATACACACAATGACTCGGTTGACATTCTTCAAGAGTTCGATCCTTTATTTTGCTCCCAAAATACATCTGCATCATCAAGTGAACCCACATGTGAATCAAGTTTTATCGACTACAATCACCATCCTTTGGTTGATAGCGAGCCGTTATCTCGATTTTCGCTGCTTGGACGATGTTCTGGTAGCAGATCTGGTGGTGTATTTGATAAGGATTTAATCTGGGATGAGCTGGAGGAAGTTGATTTAAGTGTAAATTCATCTAATACCTTTAAAATTATGGAATCCAATCCTTCATCGGATTGTGAAGCAACTGACTCTGTTTCGCAAGACTTGCCTCATCCTGGCTCTTGTGAACCCCAGGTACTTTCATAGTCTGGGTTATGTTCACTTACTTTTTCTTTTCCAATTGACGCGTCGGTTACTGCTTTGTGTCAGGTTTAGGGGTTTGTTGGTGTTTTCTTTCACTTATTTGCATCCCACTTAATTTTGTGTTAAATTCTCGTAAATACTAACAAGGTATTGACGACGCGTATTTCAATATTTAGCTACTGCTTCAGCATATATTTCACGGAAACATAAACTTTATTGCCTCACTGTTTTCAGTATGCTTAACATTTGTATTTTTGGTTTTAAATTCTGAGACAACATCTTCTAAGTTTTTCCACTTTTTCAATTGTAACAGTTATTCACGTAGATGCTGAGGTCACTACGGAAATTCGTTGCTTTACCTTTGTTCTTTTACCCTGACGGTTATTTTGAGGGGCCAATTACCCACAATACCGCTTACCACACTGTCTACGCGCTTTATATTTTCAAGCGGCGTCGCTGATTCTTTGACATATTTCAGACCCACTTTATTGGTCCATTTTCTATCTGATTTAATTCACTCAAGTGGATAAGATCACCAATCTGATTGCCAACCTGGGTGTAGAGCCAATGAAATTAGGTATATCTCGACGTATGTGTTGTGTGGTGCTAGTCAGTTTCTCAAATCTAATTAACGCTTCTTTGGTCTAGCAAAAATTTTAATTTACCTATGAGATTTGTTCTGCAATGCATCACTTTGACCAGTCAACTCGACCGTTGTTTACAGTTCGACAACTTAGCGCAGGATCCATCGAATCTGTAATTACTTCACATTATCGCGACATTATTTTTTTTGACAGCAGGCTTCCCCATCAGTCGACAGCGCCGAAAATTCTTCTGAGAGTCCTCTTCTGCCGTACATTACCGCCGTCGACATCGGTCTATCAAATTTTGCCAAGGCTGTGCACAAGTAAGCTGCAATTTTTTTTATCTGTAAGGCCTAAATGATGCCATCAGTAGTTAGTGTTTAAATTAAACACTCGCGGTGGATGTAGCGTTGTTTAACGTTGTCCGCGGCGACTGTATCAATTGTCTTCCTTACTTCCGTTTCATCTCTTGCGATAAACTTCCAGTTAGAAGATATTTCTAGATAACTTAGTACTCTTTTGTTATCAACCCGAAATAGATGAGGCGTAGGTAAAGGTTTGCCCCCACAGTGTCTACGTATTTTGAAAGTTAATTGACCTACGATTGTGGAAGGTCACTGTTCAATCGATTTGCATTTTGTCTCGGCTGCAGCTGTGTACCCCTGCTTCCACCAACCGAAGACAATTTCCCCCTCTCCTCTTCACCTTACTTGAATCAGCTACCAGTAGTGGGGCCGCCGGTGGCTCTCAACGGTTACCTCATTGACGGTCTGGTTGGCAGTCCCCTGAGTTACTGCCTCTCGCTGGACACTCCGGAAACCCTTGCCGACGACTGGCGTCTCAACCCCGGCCTCATGCCCATCGCTGATCGCTCGCCCCAAGTCGCCTTCGTACCGCTACCCGGCGTCAAAAACCTGCCCGACGTGTTCGTGAAGATTTACATTGCCCTGCGCGTCTACTTCTACCAGCGGTATAGTGACAGCGTACGACATTGGACCCATGAGAGGATGCAGTCAACCTGTGCGCGTGAGTGGCCTCCTCCTATCCACTACCTGCACCTTCACCACCGTCTCTTCCTCCTTCTTTTCTCAGAAAATTCAAGTGGCTACTGTCCACCAACCCACCCCAGCTTCAAATGTTACCTTTAAGCGACTAGATTGATGTTTCGTTATGTTAGGTTTTTTGTCGAAATTCGTACGGTTCGGTTAATAGTTTGGCTTTCCGTAGATATGACCGTGTGGACGAAATCATACTTCTTAACCCTTTAAAAGGTCAACAGCGAAGCCACTGTTCCGCCAATTCCTGCTCACGATTTATTGGTTATCACGTGGAGTTTAGCGTGGTCGCTCTAAGTACGCGGTCCGTTCACAATGCCACTTACCTGCAGTAGACTCTTAAGTGCTTTGATGTGAGTGTAATTATGTCATCTGTCGCTACTTCTGACTGCCTGTTTCGTCATGGTGTGTGTGTGTGTGCAAGAAAGCTGAACTATTGATGATGGCGATGATGATAATGCTTTCTCCGTCAGCTACCGAAATCTCGGCGTCTGTCCATTTCAACTGATGAGGACCGCTGATCTGATGCTTTGAGGCCGCTCAAAATGCACAATGCTACTTCAACCCCACCAAACTCCACCTTATTGGCTGTGTTAATCGATTTTCTGTTGAATGTCGTATTTCCGCATTGCAGCGTCCAAGTTGGTCTCCTCGCTAATTGCTGAGTGCCTAAAGCGGGCTTACCGTGGCCCCGAAAAGGTACCCAGGGTTTCAGACTACTGCCTCCGGATCTACGGACGAACGGACATCCTGCATCCGTAAGTTGAACCTAAAATGTTTGTAAAAAAATCGGTATTTATTAATCTCTGCCCACCCAATCACTGCTCTGGAGACTTCTGAAAAAGTAGGCCTCTGGCTCTGACCGTCGAACCTGCTTAATTATCACAGCCACGCGATTGTGTGTACTATTGGCGTGCACCTTTATTAAGCACTTTTATCAAATCCGAACTCTCTAAGCTTGTGTACCACTATCTACTACAATCACATCACGTCAACATCACCTGATCAAGTCTGAGAGTAGTTGTGAGAGCAATTGTTGAGGTCATTTATCATTCAGCAACTCTTTATGATATGGGCTTGAATATCAGCCGAAGGAGTGGTCTTGAAGGCTAATTGATTCCACGAAACCCTTCCAGAATGAGCCGTTTTGCGTGGGATTGGGCGTTGTCGTGGAACAGAATTACCCATATTGATTAGCCTTGTTCAAGCAGCGTGATTGGACAGCTCAGGTGTGCTGGCTGATTGTCGGATTCTGGATGAGATTCTCACAATTTCGCCACACAGCTCCACCTCCTGCTGCCTGCAGCAACGCTATGCAGGGACCCAGGCGAATTCGATGCGACTGTGAAGCGTCGCTGCCTCCTGTGGCAGTCGAAGCCTCATCTTACGGACCCTGTCTACTTGTAACCTTGATTTGTGGCACCTGAGTTCCCGTTTTTCTATGAATTGGTTTTTTAACAAATTTGCGCAGCACTAGGACTGAAAACCAAGGAGTCAAATGAGGTGTTCTTCTCGAGGAGTTCTTGCTTGTGGAAAAAAGTGATTCCTTCCTCTCTCTCTCTCTTCCTTGGACTCGTAATGCAGATTGTGTTGATCTGTCAAGCACATGCGGTACAATCAGTGTCCATGACCCTTGCAAACATCTTCTGTGGTAAAAACAATTGGTACGAAGTAAAAGAATGCCAAAAATCGCTCATTTTATTGCTTGTCTCACCTGTTAGTCTCACTGCTGCGCTTTCGTCCTATGTTTTAGACCAATTAAAACAAAACAACCGTAGTACAAATCCAACAGTGACCTTCATTAAAGCCATCGTGATTGGTTGGCTGAATGTCACTTCTAGACTGCTGGAACGAGTTTGTAAGAATGCGCAATTGTTGTCCCGGTATCATTAAAACAAAATAACTGTGACATTTGGCGGTTCGGGGAATTCGACTTGGCCCAAAGTCGACCCCAAAAAGTGTGATTCTATGTCGACCATTTTTGGATATGGTAATGAAGGCGATTGTCACAGGTATTGGGCGATTACAGCACCTCGTGTTGAATTCGCACCGATACTAAATCTATGCACTTTAAACTGGCAGTATTATTAATGCGTCGACA